GTTATGGGGTTTTAAAAAGAGAGGTTTATTGCAGTTTCCAACACCAAAACTACAGGCTGAGTGTCTCTCCTTTTTCTTTTTTTTCAAAAGTAAATCAAATCCATACACACGCATGCACACACACTCTCACTCTACCTTCTCTCACACATACAGATCTGGGGGAAGAACACACATTACAAGAGCAGCATTACAGACTCTACAGGAAAAATACCAAAATAGCTTTCTGTGAATACATACTCATCTTCCCTCTGAGTCCTCTCTACTTGTTTAAGAACTGTTTGTTGAGCATGAGTTGGTGGCACCCCTAATGTTTGGGGAAGAATTCTGAGCCATCAGCAGCTCCACCAGCACTTGTTTCTACCCAACTCTCATAAAAGCTGTCTGTGCCTCAGCTAGAAGCAGCAAGGGATCGACCGTTCAGACATCTGTTGCAAACCCTCTAGTTCAATACTTGTCAGACTCTAAACTAGTCGTTATACTCAGTTGATGAACTACATCCTACAGTCCTTGGGTCACACCAGGAGCTGTGTGGGAGACAGAAGGGTGCTGATACTGCTATAATTTAAGTTCCCTGCTGGGGAAATTTCTGCAAGAATGAGCTTTATTCACAGTATTATTTTTAAGACAGTCTGTAAGAATGCTGCTGTGGTTAGTGGGAGTCTGATTTGAGTTCTTGTTGGAATGGGTTTTTTTCAGAGAAAAATATAGTTTCTTTAGAATAGAAACATTTTTTTTTTCTAGAAAAGTCCAATTCTAGATTTCTAGTCACTTGTAAAATTAATAAACTAGCTTTTTACCAGAAAAGTTACATTGTCCTGTCTATGCTGCCTGAATGGGAATACCTCTTTGCTTTGCTTTTCTATAACTGGTCTGAAAGGCTTCACTTGGGATTGGTTTAAAACATTGTGTTGGATTCCAGGTCATCCTCAACTGCTCAGAGAGCTGTTGTCTGATGTACCTGTCCCTTCTGGTGGACTCCACGGGCCCTGGCCTTCCCATATGGCAGTACAGGTCTCCCAGAGTCTGTACTGTGTCACAGGAGACCTTAGTGTGTGTGATCTGGGAACTGCCTTCCTGCCAGGGACTCTGACCCAGAAGAGAGACCAGGGTTACCAGGCTGCCACACTGCAGTGTCTGAGGCAATGCAACACTGTGGGAATAAAAGCAGTTCAACACTGTACTGACTCAGAACAAAATTTCTCGGGTCAGGTCACTAAGCCAAAGTGAACCAGCATTGGTTTCAGTAATGTAAAATACTCCATTTCAAATGCACTGGTGTTAACAAATAGGTTTCCTTTCTTGTTTCTTTCTTTCTTTTTAAACTTGTGAACTTCCGTTCTACAGAGAGTCTCTAATTTCAGTTTTTCTCCCTGAATTGGGATGAGAGCGAATGTTGAAATACTGGAATTTCTTCCTTTCTGGGGAGGAGGCAGCTGATGAGTAAGAGCAACCAGTTTCAGGGTTAGGACAGCTGACTCTGAAGTCCTGTACACTAGAGCAGACCAGGTGATGGTGGGGCAGATAGGTGATGGAGGGGAGGGGAACACGCTGGCAGAAGGAGGGAAGTAAGAGAGAGGAATGAGAAGCAACAATGAGGGCAAGAACAAAAGAGTTACGACTGTTACACTGATGGCTGTGCCAAGCTCAGCATTCTGCTTTGCTGAGTGACCAGCAGACATGCAAGCTGGTGCCACATCGAGAGCTCCTGTCACAGAGCACATGAGGCACTTCATGGGGAAGGCAAGGGCTGGGTGAGGTGGAGCTGGTGGGTCACACCAGTGCACAACCAGGCAGTGCTGCAGGGTTTCACTTCTGCTCACTTAGCAGTTGAGTCCTCCCATGCTAATCGAACAGGAGAAGAATGAAGAAACAAAAGACGAGCACTTCTGAGTTCTCATCCTGGCTCTGAGCAGGGCACTGCAGCCCTTGTGAGTTAAAGAGTCTCTCTGCCACAGAGTCTTTTTCTGCAAAGTAGAAAGAGTAGGAACACTCTTTTCTGGTGTGACTGGGAAGGAACATTAGTGACTGTTCCTAACACACTGCAGAGTGTTTATTATGCTGATGCTTTTATTATTTAACAAGTTTCTTGACTTTTTTTTTCAATATACCAAATTGATACACTCCATCCATCACCAATGCCCTCCAGGAATGAGTAGCTAATTAGAGAGCAGGACTTGTGAAAAGACAAACCTGGGTTATGCACAGAACAGGTTTCTCCAGTATTTATTGCCTACGTTACTGGCCAAGCTTCCTTGTAAGTAATAGTCAAATAATCGGCCTGGGTCCTTTTGTGAATGGTTTGAGTCTGTGTGGTCCCTCCTTTGTTAGAGCAACTCATGGTTTCTGAAAGCTTCTGCACCCCCTGTTCTGAACAGCAGAGCCTGGTGGCACCAGCTGCTTCTGCCTGGAACAAACATTTGCATGTGACATTAAAAAAAAAAAAAAGCAAAGCTAGTTTCAAAATGTATTTTCTTTTCCTTATCCTCTCATTTTCCAGCCCTTCTTAAAACGCTGATAGTATTTAAAAGATGAATATATTTAGCTGTTGCTACAAGCATCTTTTAAACAAGTAAAGCTTGAAGAGGAAAGAGAAATCTTTCCTTCAGAAATAAACCAGCAGCCAGTGTTTAGAAATATTTTAACAATAGACCATATGGGAGTCCCAAACTATTAAGCTTTATTATTCAGAAGGCGGAAAATGTGGTTTGATATTCAATTGATATACAGCATAAATGAGAGCCGCAAACTCGGCTGCCTTGAGCTGGGATTCAGATGTTCTCTTGAATATAATAACTAACGCTTTGGCCTAGTTCCACAGAATGCATCCAGCCTGCTGATCACAAGCCAAGAAACTGTAGGCTTTTTTTTTTCCCCTTCCCCTCTCTTCTCCAAGGTACTTTCCTCTCCTGCCAGCGTGAGCTTTTGGCCTGAATATAAATCTCCTGATACTGGATGCATGTAGAAAATGGGGAGGATGCTAATAGTGCTCAGCAGCGGAGCTGTATGTGTGCATGTGTGTTTGTTTTTCTTCTGCTTTAATGATAAGGTTTTCCCTTCATGATGGGCTGTCAGGGGATTACATTGGTCATCCTAGGTGGGAGCTCCTTTGTTCTTGTTTCACTGTTTGTTACTTAGTGCGGTGGGAGCAGGTGAACATCTTTTGGGGTTACTGTGAAGTGGTGCCAGAGACCTTGAGAGTGTGGATTTTGTTGGAGACACAGAGAGAGAGAGAGACTGGAAGTGTTTTTAGTTACTTTTTTTCCCCACCCCCCCCAATTTGACTTGCATATATTCATAATTGCCCTTTCCTTCCACTTTCTATCATGTCTCTCTTAGCTTTCTCTTCTATGAGGAAAAGAACCCACAAAAGCTGCTTAAAAAATATTCCATATACAGACCAAGACTGCTTACATGCAAAGGGAGACTGATAGTTACACAGATACTGAGATCAAGTAATGGCAGGCTGGATTTTTTGACACAGGATCCCTGATGCACTTTGTGTACAGGATGGACCAGCTTTGTCAGTGTGAGAGTGGGAGGTGTGGCATGAGTAAGTAGTTCCAGGGACACAAGAAATGGTCTTGTGGGTCTTGCAGGTGAGTGCTGCCACGAAATACTGCGGTCTGTGCTGTGTTTGTCCGAGAGCTCCTCTGAGATGCCAATACCAGCCTTGGAAATTGCTGAACTGTCAACTGAAGCTTTTTGCCGTATGTCCCTCACCAGAACCCATGCACCTGGGCACAGACCTCGGGCATGGAACGTGGTGCAGGTGGTGATATTTAGCAGTCAGCCATGACACCAAGTCATACTCTAACAGTCTAGAAACAACCCTAACAGAGTATGTTTTGTTTCTGTTCCCATCCAATAACATATGGAACAAGAGATGGCTTTGTATGTATTTTAAGTTTTAGGTGTTCAAGATATTTCTCAGAACTTCTGGGCTGCAGAAGTTGACGAGTGTCTATAAGTAACTCTTCCCCCAGTTTTGGGACTAACATCCTTAGCTGTGTTGGGCCCTATCTTTTCTAGCCTCACAGAATCTGAATGAGTCTTCTCTGTGGCTCCCCTGAATAAGCAGGAGACACCAGCATTAAACTATCTGGCATTTTTCTCTAGAAGTGTGATGAGCCTAAGAAAA